GGGGGTGGGGGGCAAAAGGGTATTCCAATCTGCAAACCATTTCCGCAGTAGTCCAATTTACTTTCGGAAAATATCGTAAATACCTGAGCTGCCTGTAGTGTCCATTAGTCACGTGATGCTGTTCTCATTTGTCACTTCTGCATTACGGTCAACATAACTTGGCGGGGAGTGGAGGCTGCGGTAAATCACCGAGTTTGAAGCCTTTTTTCCGTCACTGTTGCCTAGTCTTCGGAAAGCAGAGCCACAGTTTGATACTTTCTCTCTTACCCTGTGCAAAACTTCACGTTACGCACCTTTTCCTTCTTTTTAGATTTCACCATTTCAGATTCTATTCAAAGGCCTAAATTGAATACAAGTCGTCATAAATGTGCAGATTTTCACCAATATCGTTAGTGCTTCCAAGTGATGTGAAAGAAGACAAAGCAAACGCTTAGTAACACTAACTCGAGCACTTCTTTGATCTGAAATCGTCATGTAAAATATTTAACTCCCCTCCTCCCCTTTCCCACCGACCTACCCCTTCCAGTTGCTCTAAAAAAAAAGAGAGAGAGAAAAGAATAACATTATTTATTGAAACAAAAATCATCATATTATTTTTCTTTTTAATCTGGTTGTTCTGATGTGACATCCTTTGTTTCCAAACCAACAAACAAACAAACAGCGTTCATAGACACGACTTATAAGAGTTACGTTGTTTTACCAGCACAGCCAGCGGGTTCATCTGACACAATGATTTAAGAACGTACAGGGCCCAGCTGACCGCTGGTAGCCGTGACGGGGGTTGGGATGTCGTTGTAAGATATGGGCCAGGATCTCGGGAATTCATCACTCTGTATAACCCGCGACCGTTTAGTTTTGGGGCTTAAAACTTTACTACACGTGTGAAGTATACCCTCGGCTTTGATGAGCTCACACGTACAAGAAACATTGCTCTCCATTTTTGAAGAGGTGACATTGTGATACAGCCCTAGCAGAATAAAGGACGGCAGTTTTGCTTAGAAACATTATATCTTAATTTGATATTTTTATGTGTATTTATTATATGATATACTGTGTGAGAATGATATACAAAAACAATGTATGTGTATAAATGGATATTACGTTTTCTCAGTTTGTCTGTCAGTCTGTCTGTTTCTTTATATGCTTGTCTCTCTGTCGGTTTGTCTGCTTGACTTACTCTCTCCTCTCTCCTCTCCCTCCCCCTCTCTCTCCCTCTTCCTCTCTCTCTCCCTTTCTCTCTCTCCTTCTCCCTCCTCTCCCTTCCTCTCTCCCTATCTCTCTCTCTCTCTCTCTC